TGCATGTCTGCTGGATGTGTAATAAGCAACTATTTATTAATGGCATTTGCTGTGCTGGTTGACAGCGTGTGGTACTAACTATCAATGCAGATTACTTACTGCTGTGTATGAGGCTATAGTGTTATTTAATTTAAAATGTTTTGGACATTCAAAACTGTCAGGACTTGGGACTTTGGTGAGCTACTTATAGAAGATTGAATCATTATCATGAATGTTTATTTAGTTATTGCTTTAAAATCTGGCTGCTACTGCCATGACTGTACTGCCTTCACTCCTCAGGCTACTAATAAAACATACCTGCACTCATCCATACATGTGTGAAGTTTGATCTAAATTATTCATCATTATCAGGTTTGGGTCTTTTCTAGGGTCTCCCAGTATAGCACTGATCAGTTCTGTATATTAACTCCATCATAGGGATCAAACTGACTGACTGTAATGAAAAACCATTTATTATTATCAAGTCAATACATCATTTTAACTCTAGTAGGGACAGCAGAGGTGGAAGAGGCGATATATTTGTTGACTCTGTCACATTTATCTGTCTCTGTGTCTCTCTATCTCTGAACACACCATTCCTCAACCATGTCCAACAGTGACAGCCATGGGTAATGACAGTCAAACGCAGGCTGGCTCCTCATTTACTTGGAGCTGGCAGTGTAACAGCTCGCTCAGAACTCTTAAGTGCTTGTTAATTTAATATGCAAATAAGTCTCTCGTCAGTCTGAGTGCATTTTAATGAAAAAAGCTCCTGCTTCCACGGGGTGGGGCCTTCTGCAGGTTGACTGTGTGTGTAAAGGGGAGAAAGAAAAAGGCAATGGGCGAGACAGGAGCACAGGAGAGGTGTGGCTGAAGGGTAGCAGTCAAACACTAAGCTACAGTGTATTAGGGACAGAGAATGGAAGAAACCCATATGGCATGTGTTGAACATGCACGGTGGCTGGTTGCACACTGAACATGTACACCACATAGAAGTGTTGCCCATGTCACCTCTGCTTTGGCCTCCTGTGATCTGTGTCAGTGTTCACAGCAGATAGAGCTTCAAAACAGAATCAGGGGTTATGAAAGGGAGCAAACATCAGCCTGCACAAACATGATAGAGTGAATCTCTCTCTCTCTCACACACACACAGACACACACACACACACACACACACACACAATCCTCTCCCAACATCCTTCTGTTAATGACAGACTTTAGCTCAACCTTTGCCTAGATATGTGTAACACAGTGTGCTGAAAGTAAGGTGAGCATGTTATTGGGAAGGTGGGGGGTGGATTGCAGGCGGTGTTAAGTCAAGCAGGAACCCTCAATGTTGCTAATTTATTTACAGATTTAATTAGATGGATAGAGCCCTCACAGATATAAGAAAGAGAGAAGAGATGTTGCCAGCATTACAGCACTTTAATTATGGTAGCAGGCTCCTGATCCCTGCGCTCCACTGTCTGGGGAGCCAGTTAATTAAAATCCTCATTATTTTACTTTTAATTAGTTCCCCCCTCTTTTGTTTCCTTTCACCATATGGCCGTGTTCCGTGGTCAAATTAACGTAATTGAGCTAATTAAGCCGATCACTTTAATTATTCAAAGAGTTCCGATTGGCCAGGAGAACTTTTCTCCCTCTCCCCTCCCTGACATTCCTGTATGAGGCTCAGAGTTGTAAAGTCGCTCTCTTTGTCATTATGATCCTCTACTCCCATGCTGAAGGCGGTGAGTTATGGCTGCAACATGTGCCAGCAGTGTCTCATGTTTCAGTCCCATACAGTGCAGAGTATGCAGCACAGCAGACCTCAGCGAGTACAAAAAGGATTCAGAAATCACTGGAACATTTAACACAATATGGCTATGACAAATTAGGTGCGTGCTGGTAGTTGTAGCAGCTACTGCTCAACGATCATCTGATGCTCAGGGACAGGAAGCTTCCATAAATAGCTCTGGCAGCCCAAGCAACTTTCAGAAGAATTGTCAGCACAGTTAAATGCTGCAAACATTTTTCAGCACACTACCACTGCATTTACATGCTTGGATTTTTTGAATGGTGACAACCAGATGGTGGTTGTACAGCAAACTTTCTTGGGGTGAGCTTACTGCCTAAGGGAGGACAAGACCTGTCTATCAGCATTCATGTACACTGTATTTCTCTGGCATCCTTCATGCTCAAGTCATCTTCCTCTTTTTTCACTAATGTGGAATCATCTATATCTATACACAGTAAGGCCTCATTTTAAAGGGAATGATCCATTTGTTTGTTCTAACCACCCAGTACAGGCCTTTTCTCGGAATGATCCTCAAACTGGAAGCAATGTACTATACATTTCTGGTTTGTTGGAATATATAGAGCATGGGTAATAACTGGCATCATAGCCGAACTGAGAGAAAGTCAATCTTTATCAATATGATACAGAGCTGAAACAAATTTAGCCCATAATGATGATAAATCTCTGCACACAGCCCCACTGAACTGATGAGTGCTGAAACTGCAGTGTCAAAAGTCATTCAAAGGATTAGATTATGTACATTTTCTCACTTTCCGGTGGTGATATCTCAGCATACAGGTAGTTTTGGTTTTAACTGCACAGGTTTGAGATACAGTATCTGTGTCCTTCACCCTAATCAATTGTAGGTGGATGGATTTTTGTTTCATATAGACTTAAAAATGACCTAAATCTTGACTTAAAAAATTCAAAAGCAATGAAAACTACCAAAGAAATAGTCCATTTGTTTTTTGTAATTTGGCCAATTTGACCCTTTAATGTATGTTTAGTCTTTTTTCTAATTTAAAGGTTTCAACTTTGCAAACTGTACATAGCCACCATAAACTGTCAAAGCAAGAGGGAGTTATTGTTTTATATTGTTTCCCACTTGTCCTTATCAGTCATTTTTATTATCAGTAAGCCCTTCAAAATACTTCCTTATGTGGTCTAATTTATTCATCATGCACCACCAAAATGTACCAAAGGATTAGCAAGAGCCTGGAGTAGTGGCATTTCTCACAGTTGTGATGAGGCTTGTTAAGTCTATGGTGGTTTGTGGTGAACAGTTTAGAGAGTTCGCACATTATGAACAGTTTAGTGAATCCCACATTGTGTAGTAATGGAGAATAAGCACTTTACTACAATTCAATATGACTGTTGATGCCCAATTAGAATAGTGCCTGTACAAGTTAATTGTAGTATTGCTAACAGAATTTGCCAATTTCCTGGACATCCAGCTCAAAACACCAAAGTAATGAGCTTTTTTCATCGAAGACAGAGACAAAATTAAAGTCATAATAAAGTGAGAGTTCAATAATTCCATTTTGAGCACATTCCTAACAACAGCTGTTAACCAGATTGGAAACTGAGCCCCAGTGCTTTCCTGCTGTTAAGACTCAAGTTCACATCTGGCGACACAAAGCAGACTGGACCACTAGTGACAGCACATTGTCCGGTTCCAAACACTGTGGCCTCTGAATACAGAGAGGTTTCATTGCTAGAAAGAGCGTTTGGCTGGCAGACCAGTGTACCAGCTAGGAACTGGGCTAGATGAAGGCAGCCGTCTTGGATCTCTATCACAGGAGTGTCTGGGCAAGAAGAGGGCTTTGCCAGTCCTCTTCTTCTTCATCATGAGCATGTAAAAATATCCTGGCATCATTATGTGTCTTCACACAGTGTGAGGTGGAGGAGCTCAGGCAATTACATTCATCTGCATGTGTTAATATGATTAATTAGCAGGAATAAACACTTTCCTATGACACAGCCTACATGGTGAGGCACACACCTGCAGAAGCTCTGATAAAAGACAACGCCTCATGGCAAAGAGCCTTTTCATGAGACCTGCTAATTGGCATCTGAAAACGTTCCGGCTAATTAGGAAAAGGCAGATGAGGCTTGATTAGTTTGAATGCAAAGTGTAACTTGTGGTGTGGTGGGACTGGGGAATGTGCCGAGGTTTTATTTCTTCACTATCACAATACAAAGATAATTGTAATTGTGATCATTTGCATACGTTAATGAATTTGTGTGACGCTTCTTGATCAGACGTGGAATAAATAATTGATGCAGTATCAGCACCTACCATGACAAGTGGGACATTTTGAAATAGCTAAGCACATTAAAGAGCAAGTTCGATGGCTGCCATGCTCCCAGGCAAGGTGTGAAAGTAGAGCAGATGCTATCTTCTGCTTCCTGCACGCTGCATACTCCACCTCTGCTATCACGCTAAGATTAACTCCCAACCTCTGACGGTATCCCGAGATTTTAAGTTTCACATAGCATTAAAAAGGTATGCCAAGCAAATTAGATGTAGCTCAGAAAAATAATTTTCAGAAGCCATGCAGAGTGGCAGAGAACAAAGAGCTGTGGTGGGGAACAAACCAGGCTGTGTGGGAGCTTTAATTGGAACATAGTAAACAGTAAATACATCAGATTGTTTCAAATGCCCTGGATGTAGAGGGGGCCACTCCCCTTTAATTAGACTGCTTTCAGATTAGGCTTCATTAGAGACAGGCAGGCAGGCACTGAGCCAGTCAGCCACGGGATATGCCCCAAGTTCACCCTCTTAGGAGCTCCAGCAGCACAGATACAGGGCTCATGTTTAATTGCTTCTGTAAATGGTCAGAGCTCAAGCGCCCTAATTCCATTCCTTGGGGTAATCAGGCATGTTTTCACCATACAGGGCTAAAGAGTGAAAGAGCCAGAAACACCCACCATGCAAGGTACCACACTATACCGTGCCACTGCAATGCTGCTTCAAAATGACCTCAGCTCACTCTTTGATATGTTAGAAGAAAATTATTTTAATAGTATTTGTTTTTAACTCTACTTTTTTTCCACACACTTAACAGGCTTCTGATTAAGAAAAGTCCACAGGAAAAAAAGCAAAACCTTCACAGAATCATTTCACTTGTTCTTTTGTGCAGAGCATCTGAAAACTTAGTAATCACAGAAAAGAGCAACATGAGTGCTTAAAAATGTTTGTGGTGTGGGTTTGAATGCCACT